GCAGAGGGTCTGAGTCAGATGCCAGAGTCCCATGATGGACTGGGTGCTTTGGCGTCATGGAGTCTGCAGTTGGTGGACTGGTCAGCTTCAAACCCTTGATGTTATCTCAGGTTGGAGTCCTTATCTCCTAGGGAGAGCTCAAAGACAATAACCTCACTCATGCATCACTGGAACATAAAAATACCTGACTCTTACCTCTAAGTAATGTGGGTGCAATTTTCCTTTAAGCAAGAAGGTGGGTTAATAATCAGCTAGGGTGCTTTGCCTTTCTCTTGAAATTCCTTTGTTTGCCCTTGATTAGGAAAGGTAAGAAAACTTAATTTCAATTCTTAATTTTAGGTGCGCAACATCTAAACTGAATCAAAATAAGAGGGAGTAATGGGCGATAAACAAAAGTAAACTTTTGAGAAGGATCCTTTTGGGGCATGATTTCATCTCTGGGCAGTTCAGCCTTATGGTCAGTCTCTCAGTTCCTCAAGGAATTGATGATTATCATTTCTTAAGTTAATGGCTAACTGAAATTTTCTGCTTGGTCTTAGTTACCCCAAAGATAGCAGTTCTGTGGCTAAGGTCCCTTTACCCTCCAGAAGAAAAATACAGTTTTATTTTCATATCTATATCCCACACTTTCTGTTCCATGCCTTTCTTAAGTAAGTGAAAGTGGCCTTTTTCATCACACACTCAAAATCATGCACATATTTCAAAAAACACTTGCGTGGAATAAATACCCCAGAGACATATATAAATGATACTATGTATTGTTTAGGGGGTAGACTTTTCTGTAGATAGATAGATAGATAAATAGACAGAATATAGATCTCAAAATAACTAGCACACACATATTTCCCAAATTTTGCTAAAATCCAGAGTTTATGATAGCAATGACAGTATCAATCTTGACCAGTTTACAAGTTTGTTACAAGTTATAAACTATTTAAAAACAGTTTTGAAGAAATATATATCCCAAATATTAACACTAACTTGGAACTAGAAAAGCTGCAAATGACGTAAGAAAATTGAGGTACTAGTGGTGACATAAGGCTTTTTTGTCGGGGAGACTGGTTTCTGAACTCAGGGTAGGGTGCTCTAACAGACCTCCAGAAAAACAATTGCTCCAACTATCAGATCAGAACATTGAGACATTGAAAAACTCAAATCAGAATAAGGACCAACCCAAAGATTAAACATTGATTTGGTTTAACATCTTTAAACAGGAGTGTGTGAAGAGGTGAGAGGGTATCAGTCAAGGAATGGGTAGCCAGGCCCCTGTCCCTTGCAAACCTCCTACACTCTCCAAACAGAATATTAAACCAAGAGCTACCCAGCAAGAACAGACCAAAGACCCCAACTCACTCCTCCTAAGTCAGGAAGGAGAACTTGGCTTAGATACAAGAAAGGCTTCCCAGGAAAGCTAGGAAGGATGTTTTCACTATGTAGCCTGCACATCATGGCACTCAAGGCACCTCCCAGGAAACATCTAATCCATGCTCAGGATAACCTTCTGGAAGTGCACAACTCATCCTTGTTCAGGTATCACTGCTGTGCTTTCAGGATGAGGAAATGCAGCAGGAGCATGAAACCTCTTGACTTCTGCCTCTCCATGGGAGTTCTCCACAGTCTCCTCCAGGGTGGTACCAAGGAGTGACCTGAGCCAGTGACATCCCATGGTGGTCATCAACTAGAAAACTATGCGACAGGAAAAAAAAGCTCCTATTGGTGCACACGTATTTTTTACTGTTTCAATAATGATCTCTTCTAGTCCAGTGTTTTAAAAATAGGTTGGCCAATTCAAATTTGGACCAAGCTGAAAGGTTCTCTCCAGGGTCTTGATACAACTTAAGGTCTTCTGTAACTTATAGGATTTATATTTTCAAAACTACTATTTTCTTTTGTTTCTGGCCACCTAAAGTTAGTTTTTACTTACATTTGAGAACCATAAAAACTTTAGAACAGTAAAAAGGCTGTAACTTTACACAAGCAAAATCTGGTAAGCTAAATCAGAGCTCAGTTCAGAGGTCAGCTGCAGGGATGGGTGAGTGTGGACAGTGTCCAGGATCCCTGGGGAGCTGCCACCATAATAAATTGTTTTAAGTAAGTTTGTTTCTTTTCTTTTCTTTTCTTTTTTTAAAGCCAAATCCATCAAATGACAGAAACTCAAGTTGACAAAAGTCTCCTGCTCTCAGATCCAGTCACCATCTGTGAGGGAGCATTCAGTGTGGAGGCCAGGAGATAATACACCTTGTGTCTTCAGGGTGACTCCAGACACTTGGAGTTTCATCTGCTGCTGCTACTATTTTTGCTGCTAATTCCAGAGAGATGTCGTCAGTGACTTCATCACTAGGGCACAATGAGTTCTTCACATTTTAGTGTCCTGGACCAGAGTATCATCCTGTGAACAGGAGGAAAGAATAAATTAGGAAAAGGGTGGGGAAATCCTGACAGCATATCTCCTTGAGGATGCTAGATCAGGCAATAATAGTAATAGCATGAGTGACAGTAATAACGACAGTAATAAAAATGCTGTGTGTCTGTCATAGTTTTTCACATGCACCAACTCATTTAATCCTCACAGAAGCAATATGAGTTGGTGCTTCTATTAAGTCTGTATTATAGGTGAGGCAATTAAGGCACAGACAGGTTCGGTGATTTTCCCTTAGGGCACACAGCTAGTAAGTGGTGGAGTCAGGATTTGAACCCAGGAATATGAGTTGGTGCTTCTATTAAGTCTGTATTATAGGTGAGGCAATTAAGGCACAGACAGATTCGGTGATTTTCCCTTAGGGCACACAGCTAGTAAGTGGTGGAGTCAGGATTTGAACCCAGGGACCAGAGCTTGAGTCCTCAACTACTAGGTAATACTACCTGTCCCTTGATACCTGGCTTTCCAGGTCCCCCCATCTTAGCCTCTTACCTACTCACTCATTCCTATTTAATTTCATCTTCCCAAAACACTGCTCAAGATTCTTTGGCAGCATAGAAAATGAAAAAAGAACAGAAAGAGTTGAAAATAAAAGGCTGATCCTTTTGTAAAAGGACAGCAAAGTAGCTATTCAATGTTCATTCAAGAGGTATTACTTTTAGCTGGTTCTGTGCTAGGAGCTGTGCGGGGACTCAGGCCATATCTCCACCAGTTCTCTGGCTGAGAAATGAAGATATTTATGAATGTAGCCACGGTACGAAATGGTATGTGATGTGGGCCATCCTAATGGACTATGCTAAGTGTGAGGGGAGTGCAAGGACCTGGGGGCATTTGTTCTCAGGACATTCAGGGAAGGCCTGTGGAGGAGAGGACAGAGTGGCAGGAGAGGATTCCCAGGCAGCAGCGAGAGCCGGGGCCACGCAGGCCAAGCAATTTCAGTTGGTAGCACAGGTGCAGTGCCTGGTGTGGAATGTGGGTGGTGTGGGGGCAGGTGGAAGTCCTTGGCCCCATCATGGGGTAGCAGAGGGGACAGTAAAGGTTAGGGACAGTGGCAAAGCCCAGCACGTGAGGAATGCGAACTTGATTTCCAATGGACAGTATCAAAGGGTTTGGGGTAGGAGAGTAGACAACCAAGATTGTATTTTTAGGAAGATGAATTTGGTGCTAATGTGTAGGATGGGTCTGGGACCAGGAATTCTGTTGGGAATGAGATACGGTTGTAGAGCTAAGAAGGAAAGGTCAGCACTGGCATCCTGGGAGTGCTGGAGAGGGAGATGGGGAAGGAGAAGGAGAAGGAGGAGAGGGATCTCAGGGAAGGACAGTTTCATGGCTAAGGGAGGGCTGAGCAGGGATAAGGGCCCAGCACTGAGGCCCAGCCGCCTGCCCAGTTAACTGGGAGGGAAAGGAAGAGAGCTGAGGAAATGGAGTGATGGAGATGGGGGCTCTCCAGAAAAGGTTGTGTCTCAACAGCTCAGGGAGAAAAGAATTTCTAATCAAATGCCTCCTACTGTGTGAAGCACAAAGAGTGGAGCAATTTGTCCTTTTAGAGAAAGCAGGAGNTCCTGGGAGTGCTGGAGAGGGAGATGGGGAAGGAGAAGGAGGAGAGGGGTCTCAGGGAAGGACAGTTTCATGGCTAAGGGAGGGCTGAGCAGGGATAAGGGCCCAGCACTGAGGCCCAGCCGCCTGCCCAGTTAACTGGGAGGGGAAGGAAGAGAGCTGAGGAAACGGAGTGATGGAGATGGGGGCTCTCCAGAAAAGGTTGTGTCTCAACAGCTCAGGGAGAAAAGAATTTCAAATCAAATGCCTCCTACTGTGTGAAGCACAAAGAGTGGAGCAATTTGTCCTTTTAGAGAAAGCAGGAGGAGGTTTTATAGGTACCCAAAGGCAGCAGATGTGTGCAAGTGCCGTGAAGGGTCAACTTGCTGTGATGTTGCCCTCACAAGTATTTTAATGTTTCAGGCTGAAAGAATGAGCCATCCTGGGAATTTCAGTCATGGGGCAGGCTGGACATACCAAGCCACAGAACTCAGGATTCTGTTTTTAAGGAAAGGTAGCTCTGGAAAGAGGGCACTGAATAAGATACAAATCTAATACTTTAAATAAATTTAACAAGGGTTTCTCAGACACTCATTAGGTGTCCATTATTGTGTGGGACACTCAGGTATGTCAAAGACAGACTTATCCAAACAAAGACATTCGAGATGCTTTGACATCACACCTGAGACTTTTGTTGTACTAACAGTAAGTGCTGAGAAGGGGTTCGGCAGAATCTGTCTTGTTATTTGTTTATGCCTCTGTCCTTTTCATCTTTGGACCCGCAGAATCTTGATAGTGGTAGGGATAACCCGTGCTTGTTAAATGTTGATTGAATGAATGCAACTATAATTACTTTATCTACTCAATCTATTTCTATGAATCAAGGAACAATATGGGGATTAGATTCGGGGTTTGGAAAACGATGTACTGGTGGATGCTGCCTCTACTAGATCCAGGGAAGACCTGGGACAGGCATGGGTGCCTGGGGAAGCCCATGATCCAATGGACCTATCCCATAATTGTTCTCACTGGTGATTCCCTTGCACTAGTGTCTGAGGATGTACTGGTGGATGCTGCCTCTACTAGATCCAGGGAAGACCTGGGACAGGCATGGGTGCCTGGGGAAGCCCGTGATCCAATGGACCTATCCCATAATTGTTCTCACTGGTGATTCCCTTGCACTAGTGTCTGAGGCATTTTGATTCTAACCTTGACTCATTCTGATCTGAGAGGGACAAAAGAAGATTGGAGGCAATGCCCCTTCCAGATTAAATAAATTATGCAAACATGCAGAGGTACTGTGTAGGCAGTTCATTCTGATAACTACAGCAGGTACCCAATATGTCAACACTGATTGAACTCTGTGACCTTGGACAACTCCTGGCCCCTCTTGGAACCTCAGTTTCTTCCTCTCTTAAACCAGGGGATTTGGCTAAAGGAGTCAAAGTTTTGTATCTCGGCAATGGATAAGGAGAGGAAAAGCATGGAAAGATGGTGAGTGGAGCTACTCTCTCTCCGCCTGAGCTGGCTGTTTGGGAGGACAGTGCTCCTGAGGGTGCTGGACATTCTCTGCCCCTTGCCAGGGATCTGTCAGAAATATGGAAGTAGTAAGGCTTGAAAGATTACTAGTGAGCCTCTCCCAAAGCTCCTGGAGCTTCTGCAAGATGGCTTCTTCTACCTGAGACCTTCCTGAAGCAACCCCCTTCCCTGCTAGCCTTTCAACCAAGGTGATTTTTTTAACCCTTCAGGACCAGAAGATGCTGTCAGTGAGATTGGAAGGCTTCCTTCTGGAGACTTGGTGGAATCTCTGGGCTCCAATAAACTATAAATCTTAAGATTGCTCATTCTAAATCTAATCCAAAGATTGCTTATTTAGAATGGAAGGTATTAAATAAATCTGCTGCCTCTTTGCCTAACCACCCAACTGGGGGGTCTCAGTCATACCTCGTCAGTCTTTGGGACTCATTCTTTCTTCTCCCTGATCTAGTTTGAGTGAGAATAATGTGAGGGCCCCTGAAGAGCCCCCCACAAGCACATCAACCCCTCTTATACCTGTAATTCTATCATCAGGGATTTATTTCTTTGGGGTCAAGCAATTTTCTGTCTTTTAATATTCATTCATTCACTTAACAAATATTTTATGAAGAACCGAGGTTCTGTAGTAGGGGCTGGAAGTCCAGTGGGGAAAAGACTAGAGAAAGACAGTAAGAAAACAGGAGAATGTCAAATAGTGATACATTCCATGACGACAAAGTGGAACAGTGGGAGAGAGTAACTGCAGGTGGAGGTCAACACAGGCCCGAGCATGGAGGGTCACCTGAGCTGAGATCTGAATGATGAGCAGGAAGCAGCCATGTGGGGATCAGAAAGGAGAGTGTTCTGGGCAGAGGGATAGCAAGGATAGAGCTCTGAGGTGGAAATAAGCTTGGTGTATTTGAAGAACAAAAAACCTCGGCATAGCTGGAGCACAGTTAATGGGAGAACTGGGAGAGGTGAGGACACCCAGTCCTGACCCCTGGTACCTGTCAATGTGACCTTATTTGGAAATGGGGTCTTTGCAGATGTAATCAAGGATCTCAAGATGAAATCATTCTAGATTTAGGGTGGGCCTCACATCCAATGACTGATGTCCTTATAAGAGAAAGGAGGGGGAAATTTGCGACACAGGTACAGTGAAAGGCCATGTGAAGGTGGAGGCAGAGATTGGAGTGATCCATCTACAAGCCATGCAATGCCAACGAGTGCCGGCACCACCAGGAGCTCTAAGAGGCAAGGAAGGATTCCAAGGGTTGCGGGCAGCCCCCAGAACCTGGGGAAGAGGGACAGATTCTCCTTCAGAGCCTCCAGAGGGAACCAACCCTGCCAACACCTTAGTTTTGGAGTTCTGGCCTCCAGAACTGTGACAAAGTACTTTTCTCTTGTGTTAAGCCATCAAGTCTGTGGTAATTTGTTACAGCAATCCTAACACAAGAGGTGAGTAGTTTTAGCAAAGCCAGACAAACAAGCAAACAAACCCTCCGGTTTCTGTCTAGAAAATGGATTGTGCAGGCAGGGGAAAAAAAAAAAAGAAAGAAAGAAAAGGAAACCAGGTAAGAGGCTAATGCAGTAAGGAAACTGATGGTGGCTTGAGTGAATGAACGAATGAATGAATGAATGAATGACTAACAAAAAGGGAAGGCGCAAACACTTGAGGGTGACTGAGCTGATGAGATTGTCAGAGGTGGGGGTGGAGGTGGGACACCGAGTTTTTCGGAGGAACTTCTAAGTCTCTGCAGGGCTGGTTCTTCTCCTAAAGCACAGATTGGTGAGCTCAAAATGGGCTTCCTGGGAGCTGGTGGGAAGCAGACAGCCAAGGGGGAGGGTCCAGCAAGTGTGGGCCGGAGGGGAGGCAGGGGCTGAGTTACCTCCCTCCTCCATGTGTGCAGCAGGTGCACGCAAGACACCTGGGAGTGAATGGATGTCACGTAAAACTTCCTTCTCTAAAGGCCCAGCTCAAATGCGGGCCGGAGGGGAGGCAGGGGCTGAGTTACCTCCCTCCTCCATGTGTGCAGCAGGTGCACGCGAGACACCTGGGAGTGAATGGATGTCACGTAAAACTTCCTTCTCTAAAGGCCCAGCTCAAATGCCACCTTCTCCCTTAAGCATCCCCAACTTCTTGCTGCCACCCTCCACACACAAATCGTTTTTGCCTCCCTTGTGCTTTGGGCTTCCCCAGGAGTGTCCCCTGGCCACTGCCCAGTTCCACCTGTTAGTGCACCCTAAGGGGCTGCTGGTCTCACATGCTAGACTGTGAGTCTTTTTTTTTTTTTTTTTTTAAGATGACCAGTAAGGGGATTTTAACCCTTGACTTGGTGTTATCAGCACCACACTCTCCCAAGTGAGCCACGGGCCGGCCCCTAGACTGTGAGTCTTTTTTTTTTTTTTTTTTTTTTTTGTCTTTTGTCTTTTTCCGTGTCCGGCAATGGATCGCAACCCTCAGTGTTGCCCCCATACCTGACCGGGGACCAGCAACGGGATCGCAACCCTCAGTGTCGCTCCCGTACCGGGGACTGGCAACGGGATCGCAACCCTCGGTGTTGCTCCCGCGCCTCGCTCAGCCAGTGAGCGGGAACCGGTCTGTATGTGGGATCCGAACCCTCAGGCGGGAGCGCCGCCGCGCTTCCCCAGCGGCGCACTATCCAGTGCGCCACCGGGCCGGCCCAGACTGTGAGTCTTTTTTACAAAGGAACACCTCCTTGTCATCTCAGAATCCTCTACAGCAGGGAGCCCAGGACCCTGCACCCAGCAGGCCTTCAGTGGATGTTTGCAGACCTCAGTTCCTAGTTGCGCCAAGTCTCAGTCACTCCAGACACACCCAGAAGCTTGCCAGAACTCTGAGTCAGCGAGAAGCTGGAAAGAGCACAAGACACACTTCCCTTTCTTGTCCTTTTGTCCCCTCACCCTTGACAACAACCTGTCTTAATCGAGTTGGCATGAGGCGGGAGCCTGGTGTCTTTGTTTCTGCACACTGAGCTGATTTACTACGGGTGGGACTGTAAGGAACAGGGCACGGGACAAAGTCACACACTGGCCCTGGTGCTGCCCTCCCCCTGTGAACAGCCGGGCCACCTACCTCTGCCTTGGGGACCTCACTGCCAGTCTCCAGCTGGGTGTGGCTGGTCTCGGGGCTGCAGCTGGGCTCCGGAGCTGCCCCCTCCTCTTGCTTCTGCTTGCCTTTCTCCTGCTCAGGGACGTTGCCACCCTCCATCCCTCCAGGGGCACTCAGGGGGGTCTCCCGCACAGCTCCCTCCTCCGGCTTCTTTGTGTCTTGGCTCTCATCTCTGGGCCTATCCTCTTCTTTTCTCATGCTCTCCCCCTTCACCTCTGCAGACTCTCCAGCTGGTTCTTCCTCCCCGGGGCTCCTGCACCCATTCTCAGCCTCTGGGCTGCAGGTTTGTCGTGGTTCCAGGGCCCCTTCCTGGGCCGGACACCGGCCGTTCTCCTCTTCTGCGTTCCGCCCAGCCTTCTCGCATTGCTTGGCTTCCTCTGTGGCTCTGTCCTTCTCCTGCTTCTCTGTCCTGCTGGATGTCCTCCTCAGAGGGGGCTTTTCAGCAGGCCCCAGGCTTCTCTTCACACCCTCTCCCACTGCCCCCTCGCTGGATGGAGGGGACCCTGGGGTCATGCTCTTGGACTGGAACACCTCATCCCCATTCTCTTCCTTGTCACCATTCTCCTGAGATGACTCCTCGGCCCTGAAATCTCCAAGGTCCCCACAGTCTGACTGAGACCTTCGGAATCGCCTGGAGGGAGGGCGCCTTTTTATTGAGCCCCTCGTCCGCACCTGGAAGAAGGTGTTAAGGAAAATTATCCAAAATCTGTAAGGGAGGCCAAGAGGAGGACTGCATGTCCTTTCCATATGAGTCTAAAACACTGCTTAATGAGCCCACCCAAGGATCATTTAATTTCCTAGGAGAATGGACCATTGTTTGCTATTTATTACAGGTTAGAGCCCTGTGGGAGTGTGAAATTACATGGTAACCTGCAGACTTTTGTCTCCTGAAGATGCAAATGCTTTCCCTCTGGTAAAAAAGATAACTTATAATTTTATTGCCCTGTAGAACATTAACCAGTTAGCAATTTTATTCTAACTTTTTTTTTTTTTTTTTGTCTTTTGTCTTTTCCCGTGTCCGGCAACGGATTGCAACCCTCAGTGTTGCCCCCGTAC